GGTGACAAAGACTTGTTACAATAAGATTTTTACTTGCACAAAAACAGTAACTAACCGCCCGAAATGTTGCAGTTCATCAATACTTTTAATGGCTGTTTTGCCACGTGGGGTCGTTAAACGGCGTACGCCAAATGGCATTGAAATATTGCTATTCAAGTCGTCAAGCAGCGATTCAATGGTACGATAACGAGCCTTCGATACCGGTACTCGAAGACCCTTTAAAAAAACCAGCAAACTTTTGTAACTTGGAAGTGCGATAGTCAGAAACCAGGGGAACATCAGGCAAATATTTTTTGCTGGAATAGATAAAAGTAAAATTACAGTATTCAGGGCTGCCTTTTTTACTTTTTACAATCAAAAAAATTTCGAAAATTTAATTGAAATTTAAATGCTTCAAATTTCTAAAATTTTTTTAGCCAAAAGACTCTTTACAATCGGAAAATTTTCAGAATTTAATTGAAATTTAAATATGTCAAGCTTTTAGAAATTTCTTTTAGCCATTTTTCCCTCCAGAAAGTCGAATCATGACCCTTTCCGTAATCCCTCTGTTTAAGAGGTCTCAACAGCAGCAGACACCAATGACAAGGCTGTCGACGGCTCCCTCTTTCGACAGTTGCTTGTAAACAAGCTGATGGCGTGTTTAACTCTATGGGATATGCCAGTGTTGCAGTTAAGAGGAGCAAAATTCGACGAGTGCCACGCATTGCATGCTTTGCTGAAAAGTGGTTATGTTGCATAATAGCGAGTGGTACCTGCGAAAAGGAGGTTGACTGCGAGACATCCTTCGAAGGGCTAATATGCCCACATATAGTGAGTATTGACTGGAAGCATGAGATCTAGGACGAGAGGAGGTGGGAAAGATTGTGCGTTGCGGTAAATCAGTTACGTCACCAACACTGGGTACGGGCGCCGGCAGCCCAAATAATTTTAATAATCTTAGTTTTTTGAGGTTCTCTGTTATTTCTCAAATTGGCTTACCGTGAAATACACATCGCCTTCTTTGTAAAAGAAAACAGTCTTTGCGGAATAAGGCCGTGTGAACGATCGATGTGAGCCGCGGTACTTGCGCACTTGTCCATTTGCTGGACCTGGAACATTTGGTGGTGCAGCTTCCAGATGACTGTGAGGTGCTTCCACTGTTGGATGATCGGACGTGGAGCGAGATGAAGACTGCAACAGTAAGTCAGTTAAAGCCAAATTTTGGTCCTCGTTTCAGCTTATCAAAATTCCCAACCTGAGTAATCCCGAATTTTTTTCTCATGTTCTTCAGTTTTTGCAGGACACAGCTTTTTTTAAGAAAGAAACTTTCGGGAACAAACAAATCATTCTTTAGCTGCTGCAAGTAATCTGAATGCTATTGTGAGTGGGGCAACACTTTAAAATAATAGGAAGAAATGCAAGTTCTTTCATTTAGCACTTTTCAGCGTCAGGTAAAATACTTACAGTATCCAGTGTCCTTAAACATATTTTGCAACACATCTAAGGATGAAGCATGTGCATCAACAGAAAGTGAATTTTAACTGGAGGTATGCAACTCGGGATTGAACGATTCAACTTTGCTGCGTTTGACGTGTAGGAACATTCCAGTAACATCACAGATATGAGGATCTTGTATGGATTATCCAGTCAGTAGCAACATTCTTGATATTTTACAGCTTATTCCATAAATATAAGAAAGATTATTTTTTTTTTTGCAATTTGCTTCCCTTCCCTTCATGCTTCTGGGTCGTAACGTTTCTTGATAAATTATTGTAGCTACTGCTGCTAAAGTAGCACTATCTTGATAACCAGCCAGTTGCTTACATAAATCCCAAAAGTTTTTTCAAAAATCAGCAAAATGCGCTGCCCTGTTCTGAATCAATCCTGGCTGCATTATTATAAATGAAATTGGCCTTTCTGCCCTAACTTCCCGCACTACGCTTTTTTGCTAAATAATAAATCAAGCTTTCCTATTATTATTGTTACTGTTATTATTATTTTTATTGTTGTTATTATTATCATTATTGCTATTATTTCTTAAAGCTTTTTTCTTGATACAGCTGCACGTGATCTCCAGGAATCGCCAACTGTCAGCACTCGTGACATCAAACACTCGCCTCCCGGAAATAAATACAAAACTCGCAAAAACTTACCCAAGGCAGCGTTGTATCAGCGTTATCCAGATCACTCATTCTTACTATTTACAAAGAGTACTGTGACCTCGGATTTGTAGGTTTAGCTACGGCAGCATGACAAATTCACGAACAAATGACCGATCCTTTAGCAGATCCTGAAGGCAGACCCAGTTGCAAGCAAAAGTTTAGTAATTTTGGCAAAAACCAAATTAAAGTATTTATTCTCATGCAGTCTGAAAAGACGTGATGAAATTTTGCTTTTTTTTCCAATAGTTCTGCGGTAATTTTGAAAAGACTGCTAAGAGATCATTTTCGGGGAATGGAATCTTGCTGAGAGTAAGGCTGCGACCAGACGAAATAAAAGACCAAAAGTAAGTAAGGTGGAAGTAATCGAGGAGATGAGGAGGGAGCTATTGAATTAATCGACATGCTCACTCACTTACTCATTAGCGTTCCTATGGAAACATTGTCTCGGCCGGAGAAAGCAAATTTATCGCTCCGCGATGCTCTTCGCTCAGCTCCTGTCATTGGGGTTCTTTTTCGAGCGGCACGCTATACCATAGACATTGGCAGTGCGGTTACATTGTAAACCAAAAACAAAAAATCGTAAAAATGTATTCGCTTTACAAGTTGTTATCCATACAGATACTTTTTTCGGTTTGCGTGAATTCCCCGATAAACGCAAATCAACAATAAAGGTTAAACAGCTAACCACAAGCAAAAAAAAAGGCGAATTTGCGCAAAATAACGTTTTGTGGGAACTTGAATGAAGAGGAATTAAAATCCCCTGGCATGGTTGTCGATGTCTCATTCTTCCGAGGGTTGCATAAAAGCAATTTGATGGCGCATTTGACTTTCTGGCATATGCCAATACCAATTTACCACTGAACGAATTGTAGAAAGATTGGTTGTCCCACCAGCAGAGTCAAACCCCGCTACCAGTGCCTCTGTCAGCCCGATTCAGGGCGGCAAGTCAGCAATTGGAGGGTGAGTCCAAGTTTCTTGATATGTACTTACAACTACAAATCGCTAATCAGAAAGCAGCTGGCAAACCTTTCCCAGGCAATCGATAGAACATTATACGACATTTTCGGCTAAAATGCACCCGATGAGCTAATCACGCTTTCTTAACTGTCAGTTCGTAATAAATCCAGAACTTTTTGATCTCCCAGTGGTTTGATTTTGGAACTGAAGTACCAAAAATACTCAATTTCTTGTAAGAAAAATAAGCCTGGAAACATTTACATTTGTACACAGTACAGAGCATCGCATAGTCGAACTTGCAGTTTCCCCTTTTTCGTTTGATTTCAGTCCTTAAAAATGTACGGCTTATCTGAAATTCATTCTGAGGATGTAATCTGTAACAACCCGGGCTGGGATGCACCAGTCTTGCCAGTGCAGTCTTGCATTTCTGCAATAAACTCACAGATCGCTAATAGCAGGAGTGACCCCTGCTCTGTAGCCTAACACTTGGGCTGCGCTCCGGCCTCTTCCGGCATGCAGGAGAAAGGACGTCGGTTGGGATGAAGGTGTTGCATTACGGGGCCGCATGGAC